CATAAACAATAGTTTTTACAACAAACTGATCTAACAGTTAAACCTTCCATAAACAATAGTTTTTACAACAAACTGATCTAACAGTTAAACCTTCCATAAATAGTTTGTTTTGATTTAAATTCTTTACAGTTTATTACACGTCACATTGTTCACGTCTATATAAAACTAAGGTTTTAATCTACCACAATGAACATGTCAAAATTAATCCTGTTCAATCTTGTTCATTGACACATAGCAGTAACTTGTATATGTCATCACAAAACTGACCATCAGCTTCACAAAGGTATTGTGGTCATAATAATAAACAGGAAAACCATGAATAACTACTAACCATGTGTCCAATTTCTTTTCATGTCAAATGTCTCATTTTTGACAGTTGTTTTTTACCAACCTAAAGATTTAAATATTCTATAATGTTGAGATACATACTGAGTAGATAACTTATAACAGATCAATGCTGAGAATTTACAGGTTATTATGTGTACTTTGATATTACCTACTCATAGTATCTGCTAAGAAAACACATACTACAAATAATTTACAAACTTTATGATAAAGGATTTTTAAATGAGAAAAAATAAATCAGCCTCTAGTTAACAATCTTTCATTTGTATCAAAACCTCTTAATGTAGCTTATCCATGATTACAATTGTTACATTTACTTGATTAAAATACAAGTCTTGTTACTTCTTACTTTATTGTATTCACTTCTTACTTTATTTGAAATAGGAAATCTGCCTGATGTTAATTAGTTTCATTAATCCTAAAAATATGGTAACTGCATAGTTTAGAAGCAGGTCCTACAGAGAATGTGGTCTACTAACAAGACAGCAGGTCCTACAGAGAATGTAATCTACTAATGAGACAGCAGGTCCTACAGAGAATGTGGTCTACTAACAAGACAGTAGGTCCTACATAGAACATGGTCTATTAACGAGACAGCAGGTCCTACATAGAACGTGGTCTACTAACAAGACAGCAGGTCCTACAGAGAATGTGGTCTACTAACAAGACAGCAGGTCCTACAGAGAATGTGGTCTACTAACAAAACAGCAGGTCCTACAGAGAATGTGGTCTACTAACAAGACACCAGGTCCTACAGAGAATGTGGTCTACTAA